CCCTCTGCTGACTGGGATGGGCTCCACGCCGCTCCAAGCCAGACCAAGATAAGTAGATTTAAGATGGATGGATTTACAACAATAGACAAAAGGCAAAGAACCGCTGAGACAGAAAAACTAAAATGCTCATAATGATAATTCTACAAGCCTGTGCCATACGATGAAAAACACCAATTAAAAAAATGACAGGGAATGGTTAGTGTATAAACTTTAAGCTGCCATAAGTGCGCCCAAACACACCCTTTTGTGAAGCCAATAGTTATGTGAAACATACTCATCTAATGCCACTGCCAGCCAAATGAGGTCTAAAGCAGCAGGGGCGGAGGTGGGGTCCTAGGGGACCCCAGACAGTCCATGTTTTTGCTCCCTCCCAGCTCCCTGCCAGACAGTCCGTGTTTTTGCTCCCTCCCAGCTCCCGGGACGAGCAAAAACGTGTATCGTCTAGGGTTCCGCGAGGACCGGATTGAGAAACGCTGCTCAAAATGATGTAATACAGCCTGGGAACAGGATGAGTTGTTTTGCATGAAGGGATGTCAGATTCTAGCCAAAACCTAAATTACCACAAGGTGCTACCAAAACTCTACCCCGAAGAAAATCAGCATGGGAAAAGTGAATCACAAACATGATCAGATAAGGAAAGGATCGATCTTTAGCCTTTAGTTACTTCAGTCAAGGAATCCATCCATTGTGTTTGTCTCACAGTCCATCTTGTGGCTGTGCATTAACATATTATAAGTGATTTCCCAGCACTTCTGCTTGTCACCTCAAGCCCAGAAATGACAATGACATAAATCAAATGCCTTGACTTCAGGATAACTTGGTTAATACTGTTAATAGTAACTCTCAGCAGGTATTAGCAGTTTTACTCAGACAACTGCCTCAGTCAATAAATGATCAGTCCTGCCATTAATCCTAAGAAAATGATTAAAGGTGTGCGGGGTGCCTCAATCTCTTAGTCACAGCCCTGCTGACCCAATAGGTACGTTGAAGGAAGGAGTTTGTCCAAATTAATTGTACATTTAAAATGATATCAAAACAAACATAACTGAAGACTCAAATATTTCAGCCATGTTTACTGCATTTATATTTGATGAAAAATTATGGTACTGTTTGTCTCTGATATAACCCATCATTTGAATTATTCAAAGATTAAAAAATGAATATGTCAGATCTAGGCAATCTTTCACGTATTTTACATAAACCACCTGAAACCAACCAAAACACAATTGGAAATTACTGCCAGTTTTGTTTAATGGCTGATTCATGATTCATGTCCAATTGACAAATCATTTAATCAAGGCTGGTACATTATGGAGATAAACGGTGGGTCACCAGCACAAAAAGAGAGAAAGCTGGCTGTAACTAAGCGTGCGATGGTTGAAGGACATCTTAACGGCCTTAGCCCGTACAAGGAGGGTGGAGCTAGGAGTATGTAAACAGGAATCTGCTATGGCATGCAGAAGAAGCCCTATTTAATTGCCTGGTTAAAACAAACACCCTACATCAAATTTAGCCATAATTCTATTTAATTGCACTAACACAGAAGCTGTCAGAATTTTTCAATATGGTGCTTTGATGGGCATGGAAAGGGTAAAAATTAATCACTTTCTGCATGGAACGTGCGGACAGCTGATGACAGCCGGGCTCCTGGGAGAAGCTCTATGCACAGACTGAAACCCTCATGATCAGAGACCCAAGGGTGCGTCTATCACTAGGTCCTGAAGTGATTCTGAAGTCGTGCACATGCTGCTAAAGGAGTCAGATCAAGGGTCTAATGATGGAGGTAGTGCTTCCAAAACTCCACAGTCCCCCCAAGACATGTCATCGCTGAGCACTTCTGTTTTCGTGAGCCTTTCACCGCGTCGCAGCCCCAAAAATGCCGTAATGAGGTTTTATCACCTGCCTACGCCATCCCACTCAAAGCTTGTTATGAAAGCAAAGGACAGCTTTTCAAAGGGTATAGTGGCCAATTAGTGTAATTTGTGGCAACCCTGTAACTTGTATAACGTACATTTCGACATCATGGTCCCCGTTTTAATTGACTGCCTGTTTCGGTAACTAAAACATTTATTGCAATGAAAAACATCCTTTTCCAGTGGGGCTTGACTGTAGAATTCATGACCAGTATTAAGTAAAAAATGTCTAACTCATACTGTATTTACTGTAGCATAGATTCTTCAAAAGCATGTTCGGTAATACATTTTGTTAGTGCCTGTTTTTTTTTTTGAACTTCTGTGCGTGGTGTTTCTACTGTGTACTACAAATCAATGCACGACTCAAACTGAATTACGTAAGCATTTCAGGTCTTAGATGCAGTACAGTCATTTATATTATAATGCAAAAGATACACAAGATTTCACGTTATGTAAATGCCTAAAATAAAAATGACACACCCCACGGAAAAGTAGGGCTGTTGTTAGACCAGTCAAAACATAACCTTTAACCACTGCATTCAAAAATCTTGATATTATTAAGCCGTTTTTTTAAGTATTAGAGGCCTCTTTTACTAGTAAGCCTACTTTTTAAAAGCACTTGCTTTTTGACACCTGATTTCAACGTGGAACCTTGCGTTACGGTGTCACTCTGCCATGTAACACATAAAATCGTCGAGGGAACGAACCAATGCGAGATTTGCATTAAAGTGACGTAATCCCCCCAACTTACCAATTGCGTTTGAGGAAATTCGCGTTTTAGTAGCGCGCGTTATTGCAGTGCAGGCGCCACAAACCAAAATAATGTATTATTTCCAGCTTCTTTATGATTCTTTCATCCGTAACTAGTAGCCTACATGTATGGGCAGCAAAAAAAAATGCATAATGGTGCCGACTACACTAGCAATCAGTTGTAAGTATTATGCAAATACAGTGAATGAAATTGAACAATATAATTACGTCCCCTATGCAGATTTGTATGTGGAGTTGACAACATGGACAGTCTGTATTTGTAAGTCTTTTACTTGAATCAGTAGCTTCGTCAAGATAACTAGTTTTGAGTAATGGAACACGCAGGTGGAACAGGAGACTTGTAAAATAAAGGTTTTCCTTCACGAGCGCCTCACTTGTAATCTCTGAATCCAACAGCAGCCACATACTGAATACAAGACATTTCTCACTGTCATGGACTCAACAGACGCAGGAAAAGCAAGTCAACAGGCAAGCGTTCAAAAGCCCCATAGGCTCAAGGAATACTAGATTAATTCAATACTAGATAACTTTCACAAGGCAAGGAAATAGGTTATACTCTGAAACACAAGAATTGACGATGCAACTTTTAAGAAACCACAGTTACACCTAGATAGCAGCCTGACGGCCAGATGCTGTATATTGGCATCAGCCCCCAGCATCTGCATCACCCGCAGTCTGAAAGCTATTCATATGCATATCGGTACTGTTTCAGTGAGGGGACATTCTGATCTGAAAATCCGTCTCCACAGAGTACTACGGATCCAGAAGAGTTATATATATATATATTTAACATAAAGTATATTTTAATCGGGACGACATTCTAAATAATTTTCAACTAACTGAATGTATGTGTTTACCTAAAGCAACATTCTTGAAGTGAAAATTGATAATATAATGAAATGTTAAAGTCACGTCTTCATTAATAAAAAAAATCATTAGCCTATTCCATTTTTTCGCAACACTACATAGGACACTTACCATTGTTTTGGGTCTCTTTTAATCACATTAATGAAGTGAGCTGGCGCGCACATTTAAACGTAGTTTGTTAAAAAAAAATCTGAAATGCACAGTTAAAATTAAGCATGATGAACTTCACCTGAAGATGTCGGAAATAGGCAGCGAGCTGCGTTATGTGGAGAGCGAGGCAGCGCGAGCTGCATCTCGCGCTGTGAATCTTCTCGCGCGCCTCCGCGTCCTCAGCATTAGGTCTCCGAGCCACGGCGGCCCCAAGCGCGCACCATACGATCAACAGGCTCATCCCGTCCATTCCCGTTATTCCCCGTTTTCTTCAGCGCCTTTCTCTATGTGGCACCCCGGAATTAAGGAGCTGCAGATCTATATGCACCATGCACAGCTCCCCGGACACTCCCGTTACGCCTCCTCACCACTTTCTACAAACGGGCACTTGGCGGAGCATCCTTTTTTTCTGATGATTGCAAATGATTATTTGACAGTTTTTAATGCCTAAAATGTTGCTGATTTAAAAATTACCCCTTTTATTACGGTAACAACAATTTCCTGCTGTTTTCGGATTCTCTTTGACGGGCAGCACACTGTTTTAATAAAACGGAGAATTTATTGCAGGTCTTAAAGTTTTAACTACCTGAAATAAAGAGTCTGATCGAGGTGTAATTTGCGAAATAAATACTGCGCATTAATGCGCCCACGTTTTTCGAAAAGTCTGGCAAGACTGGCGTAACTCCGGTTAATCAAAGATTATAACGACGATTTCTTGATTTAAAACTTATTGATAGTTATTTAGCGGTAACACCTGACAGCTGTTTCAAAAGTATCACCACCAGATCATATATATTTAATTTTAATTTGAAATATGACTTAGAACTTAGACTATAATTCCACCATTCCCTTAATTTTAAGCTTGGATGTCACATCTCCAGGACTGAATTCCGCTCCCTCGGCTCTGTTTGTGTGGTGTGCACATTTTCCTCCTATGTTTCTGTGCTTTCCACTCACAGTCCAAAAATGTCAATTCGTTGTGACTAGTGTCCTGGCACTGGTGCCCCACAACTCTGCAGGAAAACATATTAAAAAAGGAGCACACAACAACTTCACTATGAACATTCTTTCCAAATTCCTACATTTGAAAAAAAGAATTATGGCTCCCTCTACTGGACGATGAGAAATGCTGCAATATTTGACAAGGTACCACAGTGTTTGTACTGGAATGTCGTGTTTAAATAAAGGTTAAAGATCCAATTAGTTAATATTTGGCAGTACCTGTTGTTCGTCTGTCTCTATTTGGCATGCCCTAATTTTATTCAAACTTCTCAGGATTAATTGACACAAGTTTTAAATCACAACGATCTGGATGAATTTATCAGACTATATAAAAAGGAGGTGACTGGGTTTTCGCATGTATAATCAATGTAGGTGTGGGGGTCGTTTTGGGACCGACATTAAGACGGCAACCTTCCAAAAAAACTGGATAAATGGAAATGTGTGCGTTTTCATCACTGAGTATCAACTGTCTGTATTAGTCAAAGATTGACGTAACAGCTTTCTTATCTGCTTAACATATATAGGATTTGACCTTTCAAAGTGAAGATCGCCACTTTCAATTGAAATTTTATCGCTTTAATTTTCACAGACAAAAATATGGTAACTGAAGCCCCCCTATAAAGGGTCTAGAATCACCTGTGGTTGATGAACTGAAGTAACTCCACTTCGGAACCCAAGAAAGTCCCCCCCCAAGTTGGGGCAGTTATCTGTGGCCTTTTGGCGCTGAGAGGAAGCCACAGTTACGGATGGCTTGCATGGTGCTGATTACCCCTCGCTGGTTATGGGAGATTTACGGTGCACCGTTGCATCACACTTGTTTGATGTTATTATTGATTATTATTATTTTATTTTAGGTGGCAAACAGTTATATGAATATATGATTATGAGTCACAACGCTGGGTCTTGTTCAGACTTCCTCTGCTGCCCCCTGGAGGACGGGCTCCCCCTTTGGGTCTGGTTAGGGTTAGGGCTTCCTCTGCTGCCCCCTGGAGGACGGGCTCCCCCTTTGGGTCTGGTTCCTCCCAAGGTTTCTTCCTTCTAGGGAGTTTTTCCTTGCCACTGTCACCTCTGGCTTGCTCACTTGGGGCTTTGGGCAGGGGTAATGTAATGCGCTACACAAAATTGAATTGAATTGCATTGAATCAGCAGTTCCTCCATTTTGCCTGTCATTATTAACTACCTGTGAAATACTCTTTTGATACTGTGGCACTGAACTGAGTATTACATACAATATTTACACTCTGTGTGTCATTAAGTCAGTTGCTGCCACTTTAGTTCCTTCCTGTAACCTGTAACTGACCTGGTTCCAAAAGCTCTGGATGGGCACCTTTGGAAGTCTGAGGCTTGGAGATAAGCCTGTCAAGGTTCAACAAACCTCATCTTTATCTGCCAATTGTTTGTCAAAAAATGTGATTCTGAGGTACCTTTGTTGTTTAAGTTCAAAGTTTAGGATGTTTGTCAAATTGGCAATGCAAAAAGACAGTAATAATAGCTTTATGCATTGTTGAAGACCACATATATTAAACAACACACAAATATTGCAATGAACACCAGAAGAGTAAAACTCTGTAATATTTTAAATCATTTAATTATTGCATATGCTATCTGTATTCAAATCTGGTAACAACATGCTCATTTTTAGAATATAAAAATGCATTGTTTTCCCAAAAGCTAAATTAAACACAAAATCAACTGAAGTGAATCTTAGACCATAATAATTTATTACGATTCATATTACATTGCCTGTTGTGGTGTCTACATAATAGCAAATCTGAGATGTCCTATCTTTATGCCAGCTTATGGTCAGTGGACAATATATGTTGTTTATCATTTCAAGACCAGTAGAGTGCTTGAACTAAATGGGCAAATTAACAAATTCAAAGTGTTTTAAAGGTGGCGAGTATGATGTGCAAAATATCCCTTAGTTACCCTGTCAATAAAGAAAAAAACCTGGGTAAATATTTAAAGGGCAAAGACTTGTGTGGTTTTTAAAGGGTCAAAAAATTTTGCATTACCCAAAATGTCCCATCTGTCAAAAGACAAAACCCTGTGCAGTTCAAATGTAAAAGCATCAGCGACATAATCGGTTCAGGCAGCTCTCACATGTTGATCTCAAGCCAGACTTTATATATTAAATTATGGAATATAATTTTTATCACATAACCTACTGCAACAGCTGCTTCCGTACCAAGTCCCAGCTCAATAAAGAACAATACACTCCGTTTCAATCAGGTGGTTAAAAATAGCAGAATACATTTCAGACGATTCCGTTGTTTTTTGGATGAAGACCAGGACAAAGGTGTAGGTTTCGTGTCTTTTCTTGTAGCGAGGAGAAGCAGTGTTGAGAAGATGAGATAGAGTTGGGGTCGAGGGTGTGGAAGCTTCGCTTGGTGCTGGGCTCTGCTCCTTTGGCAAGTTGAGACTTTGAATGATTTTAAAGGATTCAGTAGGGAGCCTGTTCCGGAACATTAAAGACAGCATTGTTATGGATGACTGGACAGACTCAGGTTTATGAGCACAGTCAATGGTGCATAGCTCCGTCAAATTAATAATGTGCACCCTCAGGTGGAAGTACATCAGTCCATGACTGCGACATGTTGCAGGGATCGAACCCCTACATTAATTTCAGATGCACCCATATTGATTTTGTTCTAGACCCCACCTTGTGACGTGGATCGGCGTGATGGCACAAGTAGGCAGTGCAGCCATGCCTATCCTGACCCAACAGCTTGGTAAACAGAATTTTAGGATGAGGAATGATTCTTGGAAGACCTTAGAGGAAGAACCAGCAGTCACAGATAATGTACTGGGAAACATTGATATTATCTTTGAGTGCAAAGCCAGAATTCTTGTTGATTCCTAATGACAGCACAATCACATGGTTGTCCAGAGCGTCAAAGAGTTCACTGTGGAGTTTCAGACAAGAATATGGGGTGTCTGTGCTCTGGACAGATTAGGTCTCACATGGTAATCAGTCACCTAGACAGGATCTTCTCATATCTGCTCTGGGTTTTGAAGATAGGTGACGCTTATGTCTGCTTGGAGTGGTAGAGGGGAAAGGAAGTTTTTGTTGTCTGCGAATTGTGTCTAACTACACTTGGAAATGAAATACCAAATATTATCTTAAGGTACTCCGGGGGGGGGGTTCAGCAAAGTAGAAGGCCAAAAGAGTAGGGGAACAGAAAATGTAAGGCTTTGTTTAGGTATGTTTGGCTCTAGGCCATAGATTTACATGATGGGATGGCATGAGTAACAATCTAGTTCTTAGAAAGATGAACGGAACTGACCATGAGCCACAACAGTGCAGGTTGTTGCGAAGACCAGGCCTGTCTATTTGCTCATGTGGAGGTTAAATGAGATCCAGACGAGGCCAAATGAGTACAGTGTGGAAGCGATCCGGGGGAGTGTCAATAAAGAGTCAAAGTCAGGAAAGAATGAGCTTGATACTTCAGCACAAACAAGGGAATCCCTGCTTTGCGTCTTATTCTGCTTGGGATAGTCAACAGGCCTCCGCATAGCACTGTACTGGAAGACCAGATAGATGGATGGATGGATGGATGGATGGATGGGTGGGTGGATGGATGGATGGATGGATGGATGGATGGTAAAGGTGACAGGGTGAGTAATGCTTAGGTCTCTTACCTCCATCGTTGGGACACCAAGGTCTGTGGTTTTGGGTAGTTTGCACGTTTTTCCTCATATTTGCGTGGGTTTCCTCCCGTGGTAACTTCCTCCAGAGTGTGTCCCCTGTATCCTATCCAGGGCATCTCCTACTCTGAGCTTCCTGGGAATGACCCCAGGTTCACAGTACCCTGTAATGTCCAAGAGGTTACAGAAGATGAGTGTCAAACGTTCCTCAGTGGGCACCAATAATACTCGTTATACTTGCAGGTAGCTGAGCTCTATATATCCCAACCATCTTGGGTTCAAGGCTGGTTGGAGACCAGCCTAAACCATACTGGACACTTGAATTTGCCCCCTGTTTATCTTCATGAATTTTGTATTGTTCCTGTTAGGTGTCTTTGCGTTTAGTTATCCCTGCTGGTCTTTAGGTTTGTGGTTGTCTTACCTGTGTTCCTAGTCTCTCCTTGTGTCTGAAGTTCTTGGTGATTATTCATGACCCTCAGCTGTTCCCTGTAGCTCATAGATCTTTATCTGTAATTGGTAATTACCCACACCTGTTCCTTATTATTCCTAGTTCCTAGAGCAGTGTTTCTCAAGCCAGTCCTCGGGGACCCCAAGACGTTCCCCGTTTTTGCTCCCTCCCAGCTCTCAAACCTCAACCATCGGGGGTCCCTGAGGGCTGGTGTTGGGAAACACTGTCCTAGAGTTTGGTTGTCAATAGCCTGCACCTGTTTCTTGTCTAGTCTTCATTACCTGTAGTTTTATGTGTCCGCCCTTGCCCTGTTCCTTTGCCGGTCATTGTGACTGTTGTTAGTGTTGTGTGTTTGTAGCCTGGGCGTAGATGTTCATTCCTTGTTGTAAATTCTGCTTCTAGTCCATGGACTCCCCTGTGTTTCCTCGTATGTCTGCTCACCCTTGGTTTTACCCCTCGTTGTTCCTTTTGTGTTTTCCAAGTTCAGTTTATAATAACGTACCTTGTGTTTGCCAGCTGCACTTGGATCGTCCTTCTGTCATCTTGACAATTAATTATCTGTGGGAAAAAAGGGTGGGTATGAAACAGTACCCAATTATACAAATATTAAACCCGAATTAAACCAAGTGGAAGATCAACATATCATGAGATGATGCTCTATTTGTTATTCACATTCGCACTTGTTTTCTTCACCAGTTTCTCAATAAATTGCACTATTGCAAATCATTTTAATGTCATTAAAGTCTGTTACAATTGTTCTGATATGATATTGTTCAAAATAATATACAGAAGTTTCATTTAATGCTTCTGATTTCTTTTTATGCCAATGATTTTAGTTAGTTGAAGGAATATTTTTTACATTTATGTAGCTATTATAGTTTAAATCAAAGCTTTGTGTCTATTTAAATTACGGACTGCTCAGCCCTGCCTACCACCAGCGCCACCTTCTGGCCATCACCAATATCACCAACAACTCTCAAAATTTCAGTGCATGTTGGTGGAGATCCAGTAAACAAACCGCCTAACACACGTCAGGAGTCAAGGTCACTGTATCTGGGCTGCGTGATGGTGATGTAAGTCCACACTATAAATAAGGCTGAGGACGTTAGTCTAGTTGTGCTTTGCTGTTCCTCTGGAAAACATCTGCCATGAGACTGTTGGTTGCCATAGTGATTTCGGGGGTCCTGGCCAGCGCAAAGGTGCCGGACCCCGCCAACGTCCACTACCCATCCTGTGACTCCACGGAGGCAGAGGAGGCCGCCATCTTAGCCCAGGACTACATCAACGCCCACCACACCCGGGGCTACAAGTATGCCCTCAACCAGATTGACGAATTCAAAATCATCGATAAGGTGGGTCTGAGGCATCCATTGCGGTGCCACGTGGTAAAATTTCCTTCTACTGATCATACTGATTAAGCAGAAAATGTATCTTGTTGATAAATATCATGCTGTGTAATATTTACATAAATCCTTTTCCTCTATATTGCTTTTAAAATCCAGCCCTATGCTATAACCGTTTTTCGAATTCGATACAAAATACCCGCCTCGTCCACGGTACCAGTTTTTATGCCAGTGGAAAACCAACACCACGAAGTACCATGCTTTTGGAATTTTCCTGGTGCAGTGGAAAAATGCCCAAAGATGTTGCCACTAAATAAAATATTATTTAATATTAGTCAAATTTTATACAGATGCCGGTTAATGCATTTCTATCCCTGTACTTGTAATATGCCTTAAATTAATAACTTTTGACCGAAACAATCATTGTTTCGGATTTATTTGCACTGGATGTGATTTGACTGATTAGCACTAGCATTATGAGAACAACATCAGCTCCTTAACCATTCCGCCCCCTGCTGTTTTGCAAAGAAATTACACTGCAGAACAAGTGTGATATGTGGGATTAAAGTTCAGTTGCACAATGTGAAAACATCAATGAAATCTAGAACATGTTTCTGGGACACTTGAATTACAGGTTTGACTCTTGCACATATTTAAAGACAACCTGTATAAATGTGAAAAAGGCCACCAATTCTTAGACTACAGCATAATGTGGAACAGGGAGTACATGTTAAAACTCTCAATATTTAAATGCAGGCTAAAAGACTACATTCCACCAATGAGGTATCTGTGCATGTGATTATTTTGCTGCATTTTCCTGCTCAGTGACACACACTTGTCTCCTCTTTAGCCCGATGGCCAGAAAACCTATTTGATGGAGCTGGATCTGCTTGATACCACGTGCCACGTCCTGAACCCAACACCCGTGGCCAACTGCACCGTCAGGCCAAAGTATGAAACGGTAAAACGGGACCCTTCTCTTTCCCCCCCCCCGTTTCTATCACCGCTTCTCCGCTAGAGATGACGTGAATTACGCCTGCGTGAACATAGCAGCATGACGAACATCAGGAATCAAAGCTTTAAACTGGGAATGGAAAGTCAGCAGCTTCCAGAATCCTGAAAAAAAGCCAGTATTGGTTCATAAGGCTGGCAATACTAGGCTAAATCTAGCATGCTGCTAATGGCTAGAGCTACAATATCAACAAGTAGCTATACTTAATGTTAGCTTGAGGCTAACATTCCCAACAATGGCCTGAGGCCAGTGTAATACTGAATATTAATGAATTTTAGTTATATCTTAAATAACACATTGAATTTTTAAGCATCCTGCTTCACCAGTCCAGGGTCATAGTGCATTATGAAGACAATCATCCCTCTATGTCCAATTGTACTTTGACTCTATTTGAAAGAGCTGCTAGTATATCCTGCTCCTCAAACAAATTTGCCAAACAAGCCAGTTCAAAGGTCACACGGTGCCCCCTTCACCATGAGCTCCATGAGGCACCACAGTGACATTTCAGCAAACAAGGTACTAGTTGAGGCTGATCAGATCTGTACACCGATATACAGCAGGGGGCCGCGTGTGGCTCAGTGGGCTCAGCCTCTGTGCCTGTGATCAGATCCGTACACCGATATACAGCAGGGGGCCGCGTGTGGCTCAGTGGGCTCAGCCTCTGTGCCTGTGATCAGATCCGTACACCGATATACAGCAGGGGGCCGCGTGTGGCTCCGTGGGCTCAGGTTCTGTGCCTGT